GCTCATGTATAATCTGGAGTACTGGGCGTACTTTTGATCACCTGGATGGTGGCATGAAGGAAAGTACGAGTTGTACATTTCATCACCTGGTTGGTGGCATGAATGACTAGTTGCCAAATTAGAGTACGGGTTGTACATCTCATTATCGGGTTGGTGGCATGAATGGCTAGTTGCCAAATGATATTAGAGTACGGGTTGTACATTTCATCACCCGGTTGGTGGTAATAGCCGCAGGTTGCCGAATAATTTTGGAGTACTGGGCGTACTTTTGATCACCTGGATGGTGCTATTTTGGGCTTATGGGCCTTCGCCCTCCACACAACATTCCAGCCTATTTATTTTGGGCTTTGCCGTTTTTTTTTTTTTTTTTTTTTTTACCCTCTGATGGGGTTTTTACAGATGTCTCCGATGATAAAATAAATTACATCATTCAGAAATAACAAAAGTAAATCACATCATTTTGATGGGGTGTTTATTCCTCACTTTTGCTTTTTGATTTTGCTTTCTCTTTTGCCTTTTCTTTTCACTTTAACATCATGGTGTCGTCTGTGAAGAGTGGGAACATGCATGATGAAAGTTGGTGGGCATCTTCTGTGTTGTCATCGTGCGAAGTTGATTCCTTTAATCAACTTGGAGCTTGGGCTGCTGTGCATTAGTGGGTTGCTTTTTTTTTTTTTTTTTTTTTTTTCGCTTTTGTTTCTGTTTCTTGCATCTTCTTTTCTGTTTTTGCTTTTGCTCTTTTCTTTTTCTGCTTTGTTTGAAATATTCTCTCAACGAAGCTTGCCGTGCTTTGAATGCAGTCAAGTATAACCCAGCAGCAAGGAAAATTGTTGTCAAAGCAAACACCCTGGCAGCAGATAACACGCCGTCTCTGAGGACAAGGCAACTGGGTCTTGGTCTGGACCATTTTCTCAAGTGCCCTGACTCCACACTTACCCCGATCAATATCAAGATCTCTCCAGTAGCAAAACAAAAACAAGTTGCAACAAAGAAAATTACGGTGAAGCACACGCACTCACTCCTTTTGGCAGATCTGGGTTTCTGGTCACCTTTGGAGTCCTCTGCTTCACCTCCGCTCATTCTCCATCTCCAGGTCCGTCTTCATCGAATCCATGCTCCACCCGATCACCATGTCAGGATTCGAAGCTCATTGTCTTCGTGGAATTGAAAATGGAAATCAACCAAAGCCAGGAATGCCTTGGCAAGGCTATGAAAACACAAACTGCAGCAGCTAATCACACGACAGCAACAATTCCAATGGAAATCTTGGAGACCTTCTGATTTTCGCGTTCATAGATTGCTATTTGGTAAAGGGTAAATGCCGTCAGTAAAACAGCATGACAAGAGAAAACGACGTCATTTGCTGCAACAGGTATCATCTGTTTCTCGCCGTACTTTTTGAAGTACTGCTTTTGTACGACGGAAATTCAAGATGACTTGCGGGTAGAAGCTGACGGACCAACTCACGAACGCCATCCATCTCAACACTTCGTAAGTGATTTTCAGCAGAGTTGAGTTCCGCGACACCATTCCTTCCTCCCCAGTTTCTCATCCGATCCCGATTCGACACTGAGCTCCGGAGGTGGGGGTCCCACCCGGAGGGTAGCGAGGGGACGACGGTTGGACTACGATTGCAGCGGCGGACTAGCGATTTTCGGGTTCTGATAACAGGCTCTCTCTGGTAGAAGCCATGGGCAGTTGATCGAAATATTTGGAAAGAAAAACGACAAAATGATTCAGGTGGTTTCTTTTGAGTGCTGCGTTTAATGCGGTTGGGGTGGCAGGGGGGATGGCTTTGTTTTGAGCGTGTGACCGTGTGAGAGTGCGTGAGAGGGAGAGAAAAAGCACAGGTGTTGGAATTTGGATATTGCTTCTGTCGTTTTCCTTCTAATTTGCTTTTCCTTTTTGCTTTTTCTCCAGACATCTATTTTCTTTTTCTTTTGCCGTGTCTTCCACTTCTTTGTGGAATTGTTTACAATTCCACTAACACCTTTTTCTTTCTTTACTTTTGCTTTCTTTTTTCTTGTCGACTCGGTTGGATGAACTGGATCTCTCTCCAACTTCAAGATTTGAATGGCGCATTCCGTGAATGATAATAGCATTGCTTCTGTCAGTGCTTTTGCTTTTCTTCTTTGTGAGCACATGACCCCTCCATGACTGCACCACTTTTTCTTTACACAGTTTTCAAAAGCAGCTGGACGATTAAAATGCTGGGGGGAAATTTACTATTGAAACGAGCTTCAACACGGAGCCACCAGAGCAAAACTTGGCGCCCACAATTTCCAAGTGGCTCAACCAAAGACAAGTCATTCAACAAGAATAAAGGGCTTACTATCAGCTCATCAGCCCCACCAATACTATCTAGATCATTAACCCACTCTGGTTTATCTTCAGCTTCACTTCAAAGCAACCGTGAATTCAATACAAACCCAGCCCACTCCAGCTTATTGGGTAGTACAGGTGCTCAATCATCAATGTAATTTGCACTCTTTCCCACATAGGGCAAGGTGTTAAAGGTGTGCCAACCAATCAACTTATTGGAAGAGTTACAAGCAGGACCTTAAACTGGCATTGACAGGTTCTCCCCTTCTTCCTTTTTCTGAATTGTGGACTCAGACGATTCATCTGTATTATCTGAATGAGCAAGTATTCCCACCGAAACAGCACCAAACCATTTCACATTCTGCAACTCATCAACTCGTCGGATAAGTGATGTGAGAATTACTTGACACACAAATTAAACCCTCTTTTTGACAATTGTAGTATAGATGTAAGTAGGGTATCGTTCTAGGCCGGGGATTAGGAGGGATTGCTAATCTATTCTAAATTAATTTAAAAATATTAAATAAGACTCAAGGACACAAAACTAGGCTAAAAACTCTAATAACTCGAAACACTTAAAATGACTCAAAATAATGAAAACAATTAAATTAAACACTAGGAACTGAAATTGACGGAAATTAAATTAAAAGACTAACAATAAAGAAAACTAACTAAATAATATAATTTAATAATGGATGGGTGTTTGGTTTTGATGAAAAGTAAATTAAACTTAATTAAATTACAGAATTGACAAAAACATAAAATTAAGGTAAAATGATAAATGACGGACTAGCTAGAGGGTTCTTCTCCACACATGACACATAAGCAACCTAAATTGATTTTCAGTTGTTCTTTCAATAAATTGTGAATTTCAATACTCCAGATTAACCGTGAACAACACTTTTTTAACCCTCAGTTTTTCCACAAGTTATTGGGTTGGATGATTGCATACGACAACCCAAAACATTCCCTACAAGTTCCCTACATGAATTGCATAATAGAGATACAAGCAAGAATCATTAAGTTCTATGAAAAACATAAGCATTGACGAGGCACTCGTTACTATGATTTGCATGAAACTTATGCCAAGAATTTACTTAACACGATTGTGGATAACAACCTTCACTACTTGTGAATATAAGTTCATAACGATTAGGTGAAATTCACTTATATTCTAGCATCAAATTCATGCATGTAAATTAAGTATGCATCCTTAATCGACATACAAAAATAAGTTATCAATCAAACAGTTAAGCAAATTAAATCACAACTCAGAAATCACAACTGAAGGTAATCAATTCATATTACAAATATATTCATGGCTTTGAATTAACCTTTAGCCAAAATAAACTTATTTACACATTATTAAAAAAAAGAAATAAAATAGAAGTTTGAAAAGATTAAACCGAAAGAAGATGATCTGCTGCGTTCGTGCTGATCAGTCCTCCTGGCGCAGTCTCTTTCCGTCTTCCTCGCTTTCCCGTGTCTTATCCAGCTCATGCTGCCCTTCCAACTGCCCGCTGCTGTCAGTCCTTCTCTTCAGTTCACGCTGCCAAATGGCAGCTTCCCCCCCCCGTGTCACACTGCCTTGCGTCCGTCACTCCCTTCTCACGCCCAGCTTCTTTTCAAACCTGCCCTCTATTCTATTTTCCTTTCCGTCAGTCTACCCGCGTCAACCCCTCTCGCTGCCCAAAGGCAGCACCTCGTCTGGACCCTCTCTCCTCTCGTTTTCTCTCCGCAGCTTCACGCTGCCCAAAGGGCAGCCCTCTGCCTTCCACCAATTCCCCCCCGCGTCTCTCCCTTTTCTTTTTCTTTCTGCTGCTGACCTATATCCCACGCGTGGACTCTCCACATCCCCTTCTTCTATTATTTCCTTGGATCCCGTCTTTTATTTCCTTCTGCTGCCCTAGCTGCCAGCTGCCAAGGCAGCATCTTTTCTAGCTTTTCTTTTCCTCACGCCTTATCAGCTGCTAAGGCAGCTTCCTGCCTTTTTATTTTATGCCGCTGCCCATGTTTGGATTCCTTCCTTTTAATTATGCCGTGTCCCTCTTCCAGTTTTCTGCCTTCTTTTTCCTGCTTTGACTCCCCCAGCGTGCTGTCCACTTTGACTTGCTGTCCTCCCCGCGTGTCACACTGTCTCCCGCACTCCTCTCTTGGATTCCCTTTATTTATTCTTCTTTCTTCTCTTCCTTTGCAAACATCATAATAATGAGAGGGACAAACATTGTTTATAAAATGTAAATTAGTATTATCATGTGACAATAAAGGGTAAATTTGCATAACAGATCATATAAACACAAAAATAACGTAAATAGCTCAAAAATATAAGGAACTAACCAAGAAAAGACGAGTGAATTCGAAGTAAAAATATATATAAATATGATCCGATCAATAAGTAACTGTCGGGAACGTGAATCGGGTCATGGAGCGGGTCAGAGCTTGGAGAGTTCGGGTTCGGTGACGAGGAGTGGTAGTGCGCCACCGAGTCATTGTGCCCGACTCGGGTCAGGCCCGGCCAAGGATCAGCGAGCGAAGGGGCGAGCTGAACGTTGCATCACACTTGTGCGGTCTGCTCCTCCATCTCAAAAATCTCTCTCCCTAACCTCGTGTGGGGACTGACGGCGTCGCCGGGGCGTCTCAAAGCCAGGCCAAGGCATAGGCAGATTGAGATCCACCCATTAGTTGTTGTAAGTACGACACTCGTCGGTTTCAGGGTTATCCTTACATAATGTCTCTAAGGGGTCGGAACTTTCCTCGTTGGCACGTTTGTGGCTGGCGGCAGCGCTCAGCTCCTCCACCTTGTCCCACGCCACTACGCACTCCCCGTTTTCCGGGTCGTCTGAGCACTTCTCTTCGACGATCTTGATGCTTTCCGCCACCTTTTCCGACAGTTTAACCGGTGCTGCGCTTACTGGCCTTACCAAGGTCATGCAGCGGCTAATGGAAGAGTAGCTTCTCCAGGTGGGGATGTTGAGTGACTGAAATGTCATCAGTGCCTCTGTTGCTTTTGACAACACCGCCCTTGGGGTGGAGAAGCTCACTTCTGCGAGTGTAGTGGTGGTTGCCATTTCTCCTTCTCTTCTTCTTTCTGGTTTCGAAGTGGTGAGGTGATAACAAGTATGAGGTTTAATTGGTGTTTTGTGTGGGTGGGTTTCCGAGAGACTGGCCTTGGAGGAAGGCAGATTTGATGGGAATCAGAGAGCCGCTGCTTGTGAGCGACTTTTTCATAAATTCACCAAGTACAACACCAATAAATAAAACCCAGAGAGAGAGATGGATGGTTTTCTGGAAAAAAATCCAAAAGTGAGGTTTTGGGCTCTTGAGTTGTGCAGATTCATGACGGAGGTGAAAAATTGAAAGAGAACCGACACAGCTTTTCGTGTCGATTCCCACAGACGGCGCCAAATGTTGATGCACAAAACCAGATGGTCTTGGAACAACGTAAATCCGACCGTGAATCTGCATAAAATGTAAATGACACAAGAGTTATCGTGGTTCACCCCAAGGTTTGGGCTACGTCCACACTGATTGTATTATATTTCTCTGTTGAAGAGGGAGAGAGAGCTTAGAGCTTAGGGGATGTGAGGAGGCTTTGAGAGGATGAAGGAGCCTTAAGAAAATGGCCTCCCCCTAATTGTGAGGATGAGGAGTCATTTTATAGAATAAGGACTCCTCACTTATTACATATTTGCCCCTTCCCTTATTGCATAATTACATTTGAGTCCCCCGAGTATTTATACGAGGTCTAAATACGGAGGCCCTAAATATGGTATAAACAAAACCAACTAATGTAATTGTATTATTTATATTTATGAATAAAAGTTAAATATTTTATTTATTTTCTAGATAATTTTGAATTACTCATGGATTTTAGTTTGTGTTCTTGGAATTAGACGATATTTGTCGATCCTTCTATCGTATATTACGTTGCGTCAAACAAAGTTATTCGATGCTTACTAAATTGACACTATTTTATTCGTCGACACAATATTAACACAACCAATGTATACGAAATATCCTATTTTTATAGCATACCCCATACGATTGGCACAATACACAGTGCACAAGAAGTAAAAAAAAAATCTCTTCTATTAACTTTACATTTTTGACTAAATAAAAAAAGAAGTTTAGGAAAACTAATGAAAATGACTTGAAAATTTTAAGTTTTAACGATAAGGACAAAATAAATGGTAAAGTGAATAATACTAGGATTGACTTTTTAGTGTAAAAATATGATTTTTCATTAAAATGAACAGTATCAAAAAATTTTCGTTAAAGTTCCCTTGTTAAACTCGAACAAAGACTTGATAATCACGCTAAAAATAGTTTTCCATGTGTACGTTATTCTAGAAGGTCCAGCCATAATACTTCACCGTATATTGTGTGCTTCTAGAAGGTAGATATATATCATCTGGCAGATTCGATCCAAACCAACATCACTAGCTAAGTGTCAATCCATTTCAAGATCATACGTATACACTTTTGTCGACGCATATTTATTCAAATTGCTTAAAATTGTGTACTTTTTTCCCTGCATTTAAGTTTAAATTTTTATTTTCATACGTAGTTTAGATTAATTTAATTTAATTTTCGTTTGTATCATAAATTTCAGGACTTGCGCAATATTCCACAAAATATCAAATTTAAATATTTGTAACACTCGTTTTTCCTAGGAGTTGATAAATATATCTCTTATAGTGTGACCTAAGAAACAATTTTATACTGAACTTCTTGTCCCATACAGAAAATATAGAGAAACACATGATGATTATTTTGGAGCTCTAAAAATCATTTTCTAATTGTTATTAATTTTAAAATAACAATTCCTTGAATTACCTAATATTTGCTGTGCACCACCAATTTGCCAATACCACACAAAACAGTCCGTATATCTTATCAAATTATTGGGTTGTACTGTTTCTCAAAGTTTCACCAACAGGATCCTCTTCGGATCCTTTTTGGTGAGGATCATGGGGATCCGTGAAATGTATCTATTCATCATACATCATGCGATTAGTTTTTGTCAGGTACTGTTTGTATGTAACTTTAAATAAAAATATTAAAATGATTTATGACCGTATAATGTACGATGAATAGACACGATTCACGAATCTTCGGGATCCTCACAAAAAAGATTTGGCGAGGATCTGGATTCAAAGTTTTAGATATCTTTTAATCCACGAAAAGAACAAGACCCTACTTCCAACTTGCTGCGACCAAGTATCAATTTGTGCTTTAATTCTAAGAAAAGATTGTCTTTTGGTTTTTCCTTTGCTACACGACTTGAAGTTCGATTACCTGCCTTTTAAGTTCCTGAGGTTAGTTCAAGTGAAGAGGACAAGTGTTGTAACCAGCCAACAGGATTACAATAAGTTCAGAGTCTAGGTTCGTTTTTCTCCAATATAAGTTATACAACAAAGAAAAACGATAAATAAACAATGCGATACAACTTTTTAGTTTTTACACAGTTCTTAACCTAAAGACTGAATTGCAGTATTTTTTTATTTTATAAAAAGGGACTAGCACGACAGTGCACTTTTTCGAGGATTATAAAAACTCATAGAGACATTTCAGTCTTCTTCTAATTACCAGCGTGTGATTCACAACGCCAGATAACGACACATAACGTGTCATATGAAATACAAATTTAGAATTCATCCTCAACCACTAGACCAACCTGTGATAATTAATTGCAGTGTTGGGTTAATTAGGTGTTGAAACTTGCTAATTGCTCTATCTACTTGTCATGAAATGCACCCGAGCATCCACTCTTGTTTATTTTTTGGGATAAAAAAGTAACAAAACATACACTCTTGTAAAATAACATAAAAAAAAACAAAACAATGGGTAGCAATTAAAAAAAAAAAAAGGCAGTGAGTTAAAAGTGAGCTGTAGAAGCAGTGTTACAAACGCACGTTAAAACAACCCACATATACTACACCCAAACACCAAACCTCTAAAACACTTATAGCTGAGTTAGTTAAAAATATTATTGAGATTTTGAGTTCGAATTTTCTCTTTAATATCGATTTTTTTTTATTAAAAATACGACTCTACATCTAATGTCATAATCAATTGATTGTAATTTTTATTTTCAAATTTCTAATCAATTATATTATACTATGAGAATTTTAATAAAACATTCATGGTATTGTTCATTTTTAACGAAAAATCACATTTTTACCTTTAACTGATACTGTTCACTATACCTTTAAAAATGACTTTTCATTAAAAGAAATTTTTTTTTTGAACTTTTCATTAGTTTTCGTTTATATTAATAGTGTCCGTCTGTGTTTCCTGCCATTAAAAAATATCTACTCAATCTGGGTTTGTATACCCAAAAAATTAAATAAATATAAACAGTCAGCATCAGGTCACATCAGCGCCAATTACATGAAGATTCCTAAATTCAAAGCTGCCGTGCGTGTGAAATCCCCTGCTGCTGCATATGAAATTGAGACCCTCGCCAAAATCTCCTAAAAGCACTCTCTTACTCTCTTTTACGGCGGCCAGAGTCAGTGCACCACCGTGGCACCCCGTTTTGCCGACGATGATTTAGTCGCACCACCACCAACTATTTCTGTAAGCCCCCTGAGTTAGTTTCGGCCAAAGATAAGCATCTGAGTTTGCTATAGTATCCGAAAGAACCGCACAGTTCAGTTAATACAACGACTTCACGGTTGTCGTTGCTAAAAAGTAGTGTCTGTCACACATGCTACCTTTGACACGGTTGTCCTAACAAAGGTGGCCAATACTCAGAAGCAAAAGCTGTGCTGAATTAGAACAAATGGCGGCGGCTTTGGCGGGGGACGATCTGGCTCGGTCGACGAGCCAGAGGAGCTGGGGGTCGGGGAGCAAGCGGAGCTGGGCGTCCACGAGTTTCCGGGAAGTGTGGCAGGCACCACCGGATGTGTTCAACAGGAGCGGGCGGCAGGACGAGGAGGAGGAGCTGCGGTGGGCGGCGATCGAACGGCTGCCGACGTATGACAGGTTGAAAAGAGGGATGCTGAGGCAGGTGCTGGATAGCGGAAAGGTGGTGACTGATGAGGTGGACGTGACGAGGTTGGGAATGCAGGACAAGAAGCAGTTGATGGAGAGTATACTGAAGGTTGTGGAAGATGATAACGAAAAGTTTTTGAGAAGACTTAGAGACAGAACTGATAGGTTTGAGACTCTTTCTTTCTTTTCTTTTTGAAAAAAACGATATTCTGAACTACTCTAATTTGCGGACGGGATTGAAACTCGAGTGCATGGGCGGTCACAATGCCCTACTCAACTCTACTCAACTTTGTCTTCAAAACCCAAGTGTTTTTTCTCCTTAAAAGAATGATAATCTTTTGCCCTTTTAATGATCTTTTTAATGTTTTTTTTATTTGGGTTTTTGTTACTTTTGTGAATTTTGTAGAGTGGGGATTGAAATTCCGAAGATTGAAGTTCGATATGAGAATTTGTCGATCGAAGGAGATGTGTATGTTGGGAGCAGAGCACTGCCTACTCTGCTTAATGCTACCTTAAACACTATTGAGGTTTGATTTCTTCAGATTTTCCATTTTTTTAAGACTAGTTTATGAAAGAAATATTTTTTCTTCTTAAATTTGTAACTTTCTTTCAATTTTTAATGATTTTTCAAGATGTTTGTTTTGTGGGATGCAGAGTGTTCTGGGATTAATTAAGCTTGCTCCATCAAAAAAGAGAAAGATCCAGATACTTACAGATGTCAGTGGAATTGTCAGACCTTCCAGGTATGAGATTACAAGTCCTTTTCTTTTCCAATTACTGTAAGGAATTGGTGGTTGATTTGCAGATTTCAAAAAGAAAAAAATATGTTTCAGTTTTTTTGGGTAATCTGTTGTTTTCTATATAGGTATGTAATTTTGATTTGTCCTTTCATTTCATCAACTATGTAGTTATGTTTTGGGGATCGGAGATTGAACTCCAGACCTCAGGTGCATGGGTGAATGCTCTCGACAGTTTACTGATATGATAATTTTCCAGGATGACCCTACTTTTGGGTCCTCCAGGTGCAGGCAAAACAACCTTGTTACTAGCACTTGCAGGAAAGCTTGATGATGATCTAAGAGTGAGATCCTCTCTCTCTCTCTCTCTCTCTCTCTCTCTCTCTCTCTCTCTAAATAGTTTAATTAGTTTGTATAATTAGGCTTTGTTATTGATTACTTAGAATATGGTGATCAGATTTCTGGGAAAATCACATATTGTGGCCATGAACTGAATGAGTTTGTTCCTAAAAGAACATGTGCTTACATTAGTCAGCATGATCTTCACTATGGGGAAATGACAGTGAGAGAGACGTTGGATTTCTCGGGACGATGTTTGGGTGTCGGAACTAGATACCAAATGCTGGCTGAACTCTCAAGAAGAGAGAAAGAAGCCGGAATCAAGCCTGACCCCGAGATTGATGCATTCATGAAAGCCACCTCAGTCTCAGGCCAGAAGACTAGTTTGGTCACAGATTATGTTCTCAAGGTTCGTAATTGCCTTCATTTTTTAAGACAAACGTTTTCTGCGAGCCCCTGTTTATTTATGTCCCTTAATTCTCTTTTGGTTTATGATTCTTGGAAAATCTGACTAATTAGTATAGAAATTTTGACAGATACTTGGATTGGACATCTGTGCTGATATCATGGTTGGTGATGATATGAGAAGGGGTATTTCCGGTGGCCAGAAAAAGCGCGTGACCACGGGTATATTTTTTCACACCATGTTGTTAATTTTGTTCATCAAATCTTCTTATAATTAAGGTTTAGGGACTAATTGCTTGAACAATGTGCAGGGGAGATGTTGGTAGGACCAGCAAAGGTTCTTCTGATGGATGAGATATCAACAGGGTTAGACAGTTCCACAACTTTTCAGATATGCAGATACATGCGGCAATTGGTTCACATAATGGATGTTACCATGGTCATCTCTCTTCTGCAGCCCGCGCCGGAGACATTTGAGCTCTTCGATGACCTAATACTGCTTTCGGAAGGGCAGATCGTGTACCAAGGTCCACGCGAGAGTGTCCTCGAGTTCTTTGAACATGTGGGATTCAAGTGCCCAGAGAGGAAAGGAGTTGCCGATTTTTTGCAAGAGGTGACATCCAAGAAGGACCAAGAACAATATTGGTTAAAAAAAAGCCAGCCCTACAGATATATCTCGGTTCCTGAGTTCGTGGAGGCCTTCAGCTCTTTTCAGAGTGGCCAACAACTTGTAGCTGATCTCAGGGTTCCTTACGACAAGTCCAGAGCTCATCCGGCTGCATTGGTCACAGAGAAGTATGGCATTTCAAACTGGGAATTGTTCAAGGCATGTTTTTCGAGGGAGTGGCTGCTAATGAAGCGGAATTCGTTCGTGTACATATTCAAGACCACACAGATTACAATCATGTCTTTGATTGCCTTCACTGTGTTCCTTAGAACAGAAATGCCTGTGGGCACAGTACAAAATGGAGGAAAATTTTTCGGAGCGTTGTTCTTCAGTCTGATTAATGTGATGTTTAATGGTATGGCGGAACTGGCAATGACTGTTTTCAGACTTCCTGTTTTCTATAAGCAGAGGGATTTCTTGTTTTATCCTGCGTGGGCTTTTGGATTACCAATTTGGGTCCTCAGGATCCCACTTTCATTCGTGGAATCAGGGATTTGGATCATTCTTACCTATTACACCATTGGATTTGCTCCATCTGCTAGCAGGTAAATAGTAGTGGTCACATTTTTCAGTTTCCATCTTATAAATTTATACCTTCCAGAACACCAACTCACACGATTTTTTCTTCATTGTTCCAGATTTTTCAAACAGTTCTTGGCATTCTTTGGCATACATCAGATGGCTCTGTCCCTCTTTCGGTTCATTGCTGCACTTGGAAGAACACAAGTTGTTGCTAACACGCTCGGTACCTTTACCTTGCTAATGGTATTTGTCCTGGGAGGATTTATTGTTGCCAAAAGTAAGTAATCGATCTTATATCTGACCTTCTCGTGTTAATGTAGTTAAACCAAGCTAACGCATGTTTAAATTTGTTCTAAGTTTCCTGAAAATTTCAGATTATTTATGATTGTTCACTTTCTAAGCTATCCTTCTTATGAATGCAGATGACCTTGAGCCTTGGATGCTATGGGGCTACTACATTTCTCCTATGATGTACGGACAGAATGCGATCGTCATGAATGAATTCCTTGACAAAAGATGGAGCGCGGTAAGATCTCTCTGTGGTTTGATTGTCTTCAGTTCATGATTTTTCGTTCCATAAAAACACGTTCATCTAATCAATTCTCATCTTCGTTTGCAGCCAAATACAGATCCAAGAATTAACGCAACTACAGTCGGGAAAGTCCTTCTCAAGTCTAGAGGATTCTTCACAGATGAATACTGGTTTTGGATATGTGTTGGAGCACTATTTGGTTTTTCTCTTCTCTTCAACATCTTGTTCGTTGCAGCATTGACTTTTCTGAACCGTAAGTTCATCTCACTTTGGAGCTTTACTCTCTTTTGTTAACGGAAATGAAGTTCCGGAGCTGACCCACCCCTCATTTTCTTTTTCGGGGAACCAACATCAGCTCTCGGGGATTCGAAAGCTGTCATAGCTGATGACAAAAGTGAAGGAAAGAGAAGGAAGTCATTAAGTGAAATAATGACAGTGAAAAGTTCTTCAGAAATTGCTGGTGCTTCGGATCATACACCAAAGAAAGGAATGGTTTTGCCCTTCCAACCCCTTTCGCTTGCGTTTAACCATGTGAACTACTTTGTGGATATGCCCCATGTAAGTCGTTCATTTCAGACATTTTATTCCTGATGCTTCACATACTCATTTCGATCAAGAAATATACTCGTTTTGGTTACTGATTTCAGGAAATGAAGACTCATGGAGTTGAAGAAGATCGCCTTCAATTACTACGAGATGTCAGTGGTGCTTTTAGACCAGGAATATTGACAGCGCTTGTAGGTGTTAGTGGTGCTGGAAAGACAACTCTTATGGACGTCCTGGCAGGTAGAAAGACTGGTGGATATATCGAAGGAACCATTAACATATCTGGTTATCCAAAGAACCAAGAAACATTTGCTCGTGTCAGCGGTTATTGTGAACAGAATGACATCCATTCCCCGCATGTTACTGTCTATGAATCTCTCGTGTATTCAGCCTGGCTCCGTCTTGCTTCTGATGTCAATACACAAACACGAAAGGTATGCTGCACTGGAATCTTTCTTATCAAGACTTTAAATCGTATTTTCAATTTAATCTTGAAATCTTATTTTCAATCTTCTTTTTAATGGTGATACAGATGTTTGTTGAAGAAGTCATGGATTTGGTTGAGCTTAATCCAATAAGAAATTCTCTCGTTGGCCTCCCGGGACTAGATGGTCTTTCAACAGAACAACGGAAGAGACTAACCATAGCTGTGGAGCTGGTTGCTAACCCCTCTATTATTTTCATGGATGAACCGACATCTGGTCTCGATGCCAGAGCTGCTGCTATTGTCATGCGTACTGTGAGAAACACGGTGGACACAGGCAGAACTGTTGTCTGCACAATTCACCAGCCAAGCATAGATATTTTTGAATCTTTCGACGAGTTACTCTTGATGAAACGTGGAGGGCAAGTCATTTATGCTGGACCCCTCGGCCGCCACTCTCACAAGCTTGTAGAATATTTTGAAGTGAGTTTTCCTTTCACTTCTTATTTCTTGTACGTCCTTCACTAGTAATTTTAGAGAAGTGATTTCCGCACGAGCCCTGTTTATTTCTCGTCTTACATTGAATAAATCAAAGGAGAATCAAATGCCAAAATAAACTAGTTATGCAGAAGAAGAAAATGCATGTGTGGAAGTCATTTCCTGTGATTTTAATGCGGTCTGGACTTGTATCTTTAACCTCCACAGGCCATCCCGGGTGTGCCCAAGATCAAGGATGGTTACAATCCTGCTACATGGATGCTTGAGGTCACTGCTCCTGCAGTTGAGACTCAACTTGATGTGGACTTTGCAGACGTTTACCAAAACTCCTCGCTTTACCAGTAAGTGTCGTAATATCTTTCTCGTGTAAGCTATGATTTCTAGTTTTATGATTCTCACTCTTCCTCTTGATGTTCTTTTAGGAAGAACCAGGAGCTTATCAAAGAGCTTAGTACACCAGCTCCCGGGTCCAAAGATCTCTACTTTCCAACCAAATTCTCTCAACCTTTCCCGGTTCAGTGCAAAGCTTGTTTCTGGAAAATGCATTGGTCTTATTGGAGAAATCCTCAGTACAATGCCATCCGATTCTTTATGACCATTGTCATCGGTGTCTTATTCGGTCTTATCTTCTGGCAGAAGGGACAGCAGACGTAAGCTCTGGTTTTTTAACTGCAAAATTGACGAAATCATGTTATTGGCATCTCTATTTATTATGAACGAATTTTTTCTTGTAACAGAGCACAACAGCAAGATCTGATGAACCTTTTGGGAGCTATGTATGCTGCTGTGCTTTTTCTTGGAGCCACGAATGCTTCTGCGGTCCAATCTGTTGTTGCCATTGAAAGAACAGTTTTCTACCGTGAAAGAGCTGCCGGAATGTATTCTGAACTGCCTTATGCATTTGCTCAGGTGATGTATAAAATTGACAAATTGTTAGAGACCTTTTGGCACACATCATATTACTTGATTGACAACTTATCCCCCCTTTTTTTACAGGTGGCTATAGAGACAATCTATGTTGCAATCCAAACATTTATATATACACTTCTTCTCTACTCCATGATTGGATTCGAGTGGAAAGTCGAAAAATTCCTTTGGTTCTACTACTATATCCTAATGTGCTTCATCTACTTCACGATGTACGGTATGATGGTGGTTGCACTGACTCCGGGCCACCAGATTGCTGCCATTGTCATGTCCTTCTTCCTCAGTTTCTGGAACTTGTTTTCCGGATTCCTCATTCCAAGACCGGTACGTCATATCAAAATTAAGGGCCTATTTGGGATTGTTTCTAGAAGAGATAAAAGCATTTCTGACTATCAAACATTGTTCTAACTGCATTTGGTAGAACAACTTAGCTTCTAGACTCATAGAAACGTTTTCTGGAGAAGCACTCCTAACAAAACTGTTTATAAGTAGAAATGCTTCTTACGAAAACAATCCCAAACTAGCCCTAAGTATGCGGTCGATGCACATTCCTTTCTTTTAACCTCACTACATGAAAGCCCATAGTTCAAAAATTAACTTTGAATTTCTATTGTGTTTGCAGCAAATACCAATATGGTGGAGGTGGTACTACTGGGCTTCCCCTGTGGCCTGGACACTTTATGGCCTTGTAACATCCCAAGTGGGTGACAAGAATGCTGACCTTATCCTGCCTGGATATGGCACCATGCCATTGAAGAAGTTCCTCAAAGATGACCTTGGTTTTGAGTATGACTTCCTTCCGGCCGTCGCCGCCGCACACGTCGGCTGGGCTTCTTTTCTTCTTTGTGTTTGCCTATGGCATCAAGTTCCTCAACTTCCAAAGGAGATAGAGAAAGAACCAACTTTCAATACTACTGCATCATATTAGAAAGTCTTGGGGAGAGTATTAGTTTTTGTAATTTGTGTTAGTTTTCTAGTTTCTGGTGGAGGAGTGTTTAATTAGGGTTTATCCAAAAATGCAATTTCTGAACGAGTTGGAATGTCATGATTATTGTGAGTGGTGTGATATGAACGTTCCGTAGACAAGTTTCATTTTTAGTAAACGATTAGATTTTACGTGCATCTTTTTTGTTATGCTATGACTCACTTGCATAACAGGCAAAGTCTATAACTCTATGACTAACAAATAATATTACATGTATCACATTTATTAACCTTATGACGTAATTTTATGGGTAATATGGTCGATGAACAAATAAACTTTTAAGTACGACAATCGTTACATCAAGGAATATTATCAATTCACTTCCAATGTAATCGAATGTCAATATGACATTGCAAATTTGTAATAACATCACGTAAACTGTGTGAGACGTTCAAACCAGAAAAATTACACAACCGGCGGTAAATGACAGCCACGAACACCCAACATATATAATCCCCAGGCTCTCAAGAGTCAAGACTCAAACTTTCCGCACAAATCTGCACAGAGATTCAATGTCAGACCCAAAAGCAAAACCCAGAGTGGTGTCCTGCATCGGCGACACCCATGGCTTCCACACCAAGCTCCAGAATCTCTGGTCCAATCTCCAATCCGCCATCGACCCATCAGATTTCTCCACCGCCCTCATCATTTTCCTCGGGGATTACTGCGACCGCGGCCCGGACACCAGGAAAGTCATCGACTTTCTCAGCTCCCTTCCCACCAGATATCCGAATCAGAAGCACTTCTTCCTCTCCGGTAACCACGACCTGGCCATCGCCGCCTTCGTGGGCGTCCTGCCGCCGCCTCCCGACGGGTCGGAGTTTTCCGAGGTGTGGAAGGAGTATGCGGATAGCGAGGAGAGAGAAGGTTGGTTTAAGGGAGATGGGTACGAGAGAATGCACTTGCAGGGCAGGAGATGGGGTGGGAAGATCAAGGCCAAGTTTAATGCAGCAAAAGGGGCGGAGTACAAAGGGTCGATTTATGATGCTGGGCCCACATTTGAATCCTATGGGGTCCCACATGGTTCTGCTGGTATGTGTTTCAATTTTGCTGGATTTGTGTGTGAGATTCATGGATTTTTTGTTTGCTGATTTTGGATTTTTGTTTTGGATTGTTTGTTGATTTAATCCATTTTGTTAAGTTCTTTTGTTATGGATTGTTTGTTGATTTGATCATTTTGTTAAGTTCTTTTGTCATTATGGATGTACCATTATGTTATTAATTTATTATTATTCGCAAACGTGGGTTAGGGCAGTTTTCTAGGGCAATGTTCCCGCCCTTTGCACTCAAACGCAAGTCCCCCTTCCCATAGTTTAGAATAGTTTAGAATATGGTCTTTGTCAAAAAAGAACTTGTTAGTATTCAGTGATTTGGTCACCTAGTGTCATATACTTAAAATGTTTATACTCGGACTGGTCCGTGTGCTTTATTTGCAAATTCAATGTTGTAGCTTTGTTCTGTAGTTTTCTGTGTTGAAAGAATGATTGTTATGGGCAGATTTGGTTAAGGCTATTCCTGACAAACACAAGAGGTTTCTTTCTGATATGGTTTGGGTCCATGAAGAGGTGAGGCCTGTTCTATTTCCTATCTTTTTTTTTTTTTGGATGAACACTGGAGCCGGGGGTGTAAAATTTACTAAAATGTGAGAAAAAACCTTTAAATTTCAATTGGTTCACTCTCCCATTCTTTTTGTGTGTGCTGGAGCGGAATGCAGTAGTTGAGAACTGTATGACCTAATGCTGAAGCTTAGTTGGTCTTGATGATGTGCGTTTTTTCCAGGATAATGTCTGCATAGAGACTGCAGATCGAATCAAACACTGTAGATTGATTGTTGTGCATGCTGGTTTAGAGAAAGATAAAGATGTCAAGCAGCAGTTGGCGTTTTTGAAAGCCAAAGACACCCGGGTGCCTAAGATAGAGGCTCTGAGTGGGAGGAAAAATGTATGGGATATACCAAAGGAAATGGCTTTCCACCTCTTAATATCAGCAATCCTTTCTACTGAAACGTTCGTTGTTTATTGTCCGATGATTTTTGTATTTCTTATGTTCGTTAGTTCTCAATAAAGACTTCATCTTTTGTGGGTTAACTGAGATTTGATATACAACATACAATGAAATGCAACTGGAATCAATAGATATTCGGTGTTGTGGTCCTGATAGTAACTGACAGAGAAACCAACTATTGTCGTAAGTGGTCATCACGCGAAACTTAACATTGAAGGCCTCAAACTGACCATTGATGAAGGTGGTGGTATGGCCGAAAGACCAGTGGCTGCAGTTGTGCTCCCCTCTATGAAAATAGTCCTCGATACAGATGCGTTGACAAACTAGTTTCAAATCTGGGGTACATACTTACATTGTCATATACTATACTTATAATAAAGTATCTATTTGATAGCAAAATTTGGTAAAAGCGCATAAACAACGGATGAATTGGATCCTATGAGCTAGTGTAGAACTGTAGAGCTGATAAATTGTTCAGGTGCATCAATTGTAATGATATAATTTGTTTGAAGTTTTTGCCTGAACAATTCGGACACTGGCACCCCTCTTGTTTCCATCACATTTTCAGCGTTTTAAGGAACGCGATCTTCACATTATCGCCATTCTTAAGCATAGGTTTATAGCTGTGTTCGTTACTGTCGTATTGTCTGTCTTTTCTGCACATGCCAAGCTTGTAAACTAGAAACTTTGTTGCTTAAATAGCACAGAAATTCCTGAAAAGATTTGGTTGTTGCATCGAGCTATTGTCTTGTATATTAGAAATTATAGAGCGGTTGGAAGTCCGCTCAAGAATTCAGGGAATTTAACAGGCGAACGTGATTCGGTCAAAAGGCTATGTATATGTGAGGATCGTTCCTTTCATAACATGAACATGTGAACATTCCGTAATATTTATGAGAAGCCACCACGACACAATTGAGCAGATTTGAAGTCCATTTTTGTAGTTGAACTGAAAATGGGGGTAGGATTCTCTCTCCTGCTATTTTCATCCCGCTTTCTCTCTTCTCTTACATTTTGTTTTTTGTCTTATTGTCTCTATAAAAATTAATATAAAATTTTGATGTGATTTAACCGTAACTGTTCAAGTAGGAGGAGAGGAAATGAGAGAGACCACAAGAGAAGAGAGGAGAAAATCTTCCTTCTTGAAAACGAAGGCCAAGAAAGTGACTTTTGTTAGAGAGAGAGACAGTGAGTCACATAAAGCCATAAATGGCCGGACTGAGGATTGGTTTGATATTGCTATGCTTTGAAAAAAAACTGCTTCTGTTGTGTTGTGAGAATAAGCAGCTGTGAAATAAAGCAGCAGAATGTTTGGTAAACTTTTTTGTAAAAGTGCTTTTGAAAAAAAAAAGCAGTATTATGTATTTGATAAACTTTTATGTAAAACAGATATGAAAAAAAAGCTGGTTTTTCAAAGCTGAGTTTTGCAGCTTTGTGTTTTTGGCTTTTTTCACCCAAAACTGTGAAAAAAAGCTGAAGCTGAATGTTTACGAAATATAAAAAAGCTCCCAGCTTTTTTTGATAGCCACTTTTTTCAGAATCACCTTAGTACCAAACCAGGGCTGAAAGAGATCATGTATGTGTTGTACTTTGCGTTCCATGAAATTACTTTATTACTAGAGCGACCCACTAATGGAAAAAAAAAATAGGAGTTATTTGGTAAAGCATGTCATGTGATGTACTGAGTGCAAAATAGATTGGTGATGATGTGGCGTTAAGCATGTGAGAACAAAATCTCAAATCATATATTGGACAGGAAGTCTAATGTCCATAGATCACTCGCATTATTTAATTACTGTCACGGTTTTAGAACACCAAGTAATGTAGATTCAGCAAATTTAATAGCTCCATCTTTCACCCGTAGATCCAAAAGAGGTAGCATGCCAAAACAAAAAGGCTAAATAGCCAAAATGGTCTCTGAAATTTGCATAACTCATCACTTTGGTCCCTAACATTTCAAATCAATAAAAGTGGTCCCTGAGATTGTCCACCATCCATCATTTTGATCATTCCGTTAAGTGTCCCGGAGCTCTTGATTGGAAGTTTGGACAATTTTCAAAGCTTCATAACTCAATCGTTTCTTAATCAAATTCGACTGATAATATATCAAAATGAAGATAGGAAAGTGTAGAATGAGATTATACATATTTGGAAGCCCAATGGTTGCCGGAGATGGCCGGAAAATAGCCTCAAAGTTGACTGGTCCGAGGGAAAAACTGGAAAACTCGTCGGAAACTGGGTAAACTTTAAACGTTTATAACTTCTTCAATACTAAATGAAATCAAGTGATTCAAAAACGAAAATCATACTTCTCGACGAGACGAAGAGAATGATACCTTTTTCGATGGCTAACTCATGTGGTTTGGCCGGAAAACAGCTCAAAAGTGGTTTGGTCGATGACCATTTTCGAAATGTTTTCTGGCCAAACCACGGCGAGTTAGCCATCGAAAGAGGTACCATTCTCTTCATATCGTCGAGAAGTATGATTTTCAGTTTTGAATCACTTGATTTCGTTTAGTATTGAAGATGTTATGAACATTTAAAGTTTACCCAGTTTCCGGCGAGTTTTCCAGCTTTCCCTCGGACCAGTCAACTTTGAGGCTATTTTCCGGCCATCACCAGTAACCATTGGGCTTCCAAATAGGTAAAATATTTTCTAAACTTTCTTATCTTCATTTTGATATATTATCGGTCGAATTTGGTTAAGAAACGATTGAGTTATGAAGCTTTGAAAATTGCCCAAACTTCTGGCCAAGAGTTCCGAGACACTTAATGGAGTTTTTAACGGAATGACCAAAATGAAGGATGATGGACAATCTCAGGGACCACTTTTATTGATTTGAAATGTTAGGGACCAAAGTGATGAGTTATGCAAATCTCAGGGATCATTTTGGCTATTTACCCAAACAAAAATTAAAATTAAACACCTCTTATCCAGTGAGCAATCAAACTAGCAAACTCGCGTAAAGAGAGAAATTAAAACCAAACTCCAAGATAATTCCTGGAAATTATTAGACATTAACAAAATACAAGGTTTAATTAATGTCGTCGATGCACATCCTCTAAACATCCGAGAGCCATATACCCGCTAAACCCATAGTAGGAATACATACAAGATTCTTCATTACAAAAAAAGATAATGGTAACTCCACCATCGTCACTCCCTACGCAATTTGACGCCTTCCATAGCTTTCATCTTTGAATCCGGCTCCTCGATGGATCCTCTTTGTGAGGATCCTGGGAATCCCTAAATCATGTCGGCTTATCATACATCGGGTGATTAAATATTTTTATTTAAAATTAAATACAAACAGTACCTAACAAAAAATGGCCGCAGGATGTAAGATGAACGAACATGATTTATGGATCCCCAGGATTCTAACCAAAAGGATCCGGAGAGGATCCTGTTGGTTCGGCTTCAACCCTAAATCGAAGGTGATAACTGTATCCAACTTACTGTGTGCATGGGCCAAAAGACTATGACTATATTACGACTATTACAGCATTTTACGACGACAATTTAACTAAGAATTGAATTATTAGATACCATTAAAAATGTAACCTAGGTGAAAATAACAAAAATATTCACCTAAAAGTAGCATCACAAAAAGGAACTTTTTATTTGGGTTCTATGACTATAGAAAGGTGATTTATTTGATTGGATTTGGTTATAAAGAAGGGTAAATTACATAATACCCCCTCAGGTTTAAGGTTTATTACAACCCCATACAACATTTTAAAAATATTTCACTTTCATACCTCACGTCCTATTTTATTTCAAAATAATACCTCCGTTACATTTTCCATCCATTAATCCATTAAGCATTGATGTGGCTGCCACATTGTGCCACGTGGCTGCCAAATGTGTGCCATGTGGTAAAAAATAAAATTTTAATCTAAAAAAAAACCTAAATCTTCTAAATAAAAATTAAAAAAAAAAAAAAAACCAAATACATTTCCGATTCCATCCTCCAAACAATCCTTTTCCTTTCCCCCTTTCCCATCAATTCGAAAGCCCCCCTCACAGATTCATACCTCACCATGGTGGTTTTTAAAAAACCCCCAAACCCAGAAACCTTATCTCCCCACGACCCACGCAGAAGCACGTCCTTCCCCCCTCTTCCTCCTTTCTTTTCCTCCATCTTCATCTTTTTCCCCTGCAACCCAAAAAAAAAAAAAAAAAAACCCATAGTTCGTCTTCCCCCTCATCCTCCCCTCTCTTCTCCCCCATCTTCATCTTCTTCTCCCTACCTGCAACCCAGAAAAAAAAAGAATAAAAAAACTCAGATCCAGTCTACGCCGTCATCGCCGGGTTTGTGAGGTGAAAATGGGAGGAATGGGTGTGGATTTAAAGAGCGGGGTGTGTAGAGGAGGGAAGAGGGTGGGTGAGTGAGGTGGGTCGTGTGGGGAGGGTGTGGGTCTGTCGTGGGGGGGGGGAGTTTGCTGGGTTTCCGTGGGGGAAGGGGGGATAAGGTTGGTTGCTGGGTTTTAGAGGTGCTGGGAAATGGGGCCTAGAGAGGTGAGTCTGAGGTTTGGGGGTTGCGGGTTTTGTTTTGGGTTTTTCCTTTTTTTGTTTTTTAATTTTTATTTAGAAGATTTAGGTTTTTTTTTTTAAATTAAAAAAAAAAAAAAAATTTGCCACATGGCACAAATATGGCAGCCACGTCAACGCTTAACGAATCAATGGATGGAAAATGTAACGGAGGTATTATTTTGAAATAAAATAATACGTGAGGTATGAAAGTAAAATGTTTTACAGGTGTGGGTCTGCCGTGGGGGGGGGAGTTTGTTGGGTTTCCGCGGGGGAGGGGGGATAAGGTTGGTTGCTGGGTTTTGGAGGTGCTGGGAAAGGGAGCCTAGAGAGGTGAGTCTGAGGTTTGGGGGTTGCGGGTTTTGTTTTGGGTTTTTCCTTTTTTTGTTTTTTAATTTTTATTTAGAAGATGTAGGTTTTTAAAAAAAAATTAAAAAAATATTTTTTTGCCACGTCGCACAAATGTGGCAGCCACGTCAGCGCTTAACAAATCAATGGATGGAAAATGTAACGGAGGTATTATTTTGAAATAAAATAATACGTGAGGTATGAAAGTAAAATGTTTTACAGATGTTGCATGAGGTTGTAATAGATCTCAAACCTGATGGGGTATTATGTAATTTACCCTATAGAGAATCACGAAAGTATTTACCCTTCACCCACCCCTCCAACAGCCTTTCGTTCCTCATCCTCCCCCCACAACCTTTCGTTCCTCATCCTCCTCCCCCCAACAGTGTGAAGCCAAAAATAATCACAAGGCGACACATGGATCTTTGGACAAAAGAGGAAAAAATACCCTTAAGGTACAACGGGATTCCTACGCTCGAGCAGCGGGCAATCATCCTTCAACTAAATCAAAAGTGCCCAAAATAGGTAACAATTCAAAACCTAACTCATCAAATCCCTTCTACAAGGTAACTCCCAAAACCTATTTCATTCCATATGTTTTACCTCATTTTCCCTTTTTTAGCTAATCAATTAG